ATGCAAACTAAATAGTACATAAAATGATACCATGGACCCAAAATATGATCATCCTCATCCTAAAATGTATAAAGCATCTATTTAGCTTATAATTTAAGATTATAAATGTCTAAAATATTTAGTTTCTACTAGATTACGTTGTGTTTTTTCCCCTACTCATAATAATGTAAGATGCATTTATTTTGATCAAATTTGTATTTTAATCTTATTTTGTTTGTGTATATTAATAATTTTTAAATTGATTTTTTTACACTGTCAAACCCCTGCATTTACAGCCTAAAATAACAAATGTTATTATAAAGGAGCAGAAAGGCTTGAGGGAAATCTTCCATGCACTGAGAGTTAATCATCAAATCCTCCAATCACACTTACACAGCGGGAGGCCGGTCGTCCTCTTCCACAAACGGCTGGAAACTGGGTTTAGGAGCCGGAACCGCGACACTGAGGCCCGATCTGGACTTCAGGGGCAACTGGAATAAAAAACAAACACTGATCTATCAGATAACAGCCTCCATTCTCCTTCAACCGCCTCCAGACACAAAATAGAGCCAGTTAGGTAACCGGTTAAACGGGTAATACTCAACACGGACTCGCACCTTCACATTGGACCACTTCTCAGGTTTCTGTTCATTCTCTTTGGCTCTGGCAGTAGGTGGCGCCGTCCAGATCTCAAACTTGGGTTCTTGTGGCACAGTGTCAGGAGCTTTATTCTCATCAAATATCACAGGGCGACTGTTGTGTTTGGGGCCCACGGGCTGTTTAAACTGGAGCCCACGTGCGTCTGTGTCCCGGAGCAAAGAGTGAGATTGCACTGGATCTCGTTCACATATGTATTTATACACAGCAAACATTCACAACACGTTTAAAAGAGTGTGTATACTCACATCCGAGAGATGCGTTCACTCTGTTGATGGGAACGACGGCCTTTTTCTTCCCTTTGGCTTTGAGCTCAGCCAGTGACGATCGCTGAGGTTCATCATCATCATCATCATCTCTTTGTTGATCAGTCATGGATGACATCATCTGTCTGCACACTCGTGCCTGCAAAGCTCTGGAGACCAACACATTTCATTGAGGCGTGAGCTAAAGTTAGTTTTTAAATGATTCCCTTCCGTTGCAACTCTGTCGTCATTATGTTAAGCCCGCCCGCCGACTCTATACACGATGTGATTGGCCTGACTAGCGTTTGGTTTTTCCAGCACGAAAGCCAGCGGCAAAATAAAATTTGCTGCCGTTAGGGTGCGTCTAGATTTCTAGGCTAGCATAATACAGAATTTTAGGTGGTTTCCGTGCATCCATGCGAACTGGAATAATTTTGACATAGTTGTATCTGTACAGAGGTTAAGAGAAAGAGGCCTTCACAGGGGAGACACTAGTGGACACTTCAGGGCTGCGTTGTCACAGGGACGTTCGAGTAACGTTCGTAACACTGCAGTCAACAATTGCAGCCCTTTTTACTTCCATTATAACATGATTTCAGATTTCAACTAGAACGAATGCAGGCCAGGACTTTATTTTATCAGAGAGGAATTTATTAGATGTAGAAAAGTGCCTTTATGTTTAGAATAACATGCACTGATTGCTGTGTTCTTTTACTTTACCTTTACTAAGAATTTTATTCTTTTAAATGGAATAGTTGATTCAACCTTCAGACAAAATATTTTTTAACAATCACATTTTTTGCATCATATTTAATACGCCAGGTTTTTATGGCTCGTATAGTATGATTGATATTGTGCGAATATGGCGACAAAAGCAGCTCAGTTTTATTCAGAGGCACAAACTGAGCAAAAATATGCAATTTGATGCAGATATTTATATGGACAAAAAGTCCAATGAAATTCAGATGCTTGTAATGTAAATCAATGAGATCTTTATAGCAGATCCCGACATAAAATTATATAAATATCAGTCGTCACTATATCTGCCAATGAGATGATATTTAAATACTTAGTTTTATGATCAAATCTCAAGTTTTAAAACATATAATGCAATACAATGATTGAGTCATCATTTAACTTCCTCAAAAACTGATGATCATATTTGAGACTCACATTTGAACATGATTTTTCTAAAAACATAAATAATAATAATAAATATTTATAGATAATAAAGTATATCTGAGTTGCTTCAGTTCAGTAAGTGTTTATATCCTAAAAAATATTACTAACTAACAATATAAAAGGTTATTCTTATAGTTATTTAAGAAAAATCATCAATTTCACAGCATGCAAGCTGAAGGTGGATGTTTTTAAAATTACACTAAAAGCCTTTTACTTGCTAAAAAAAGTGCAAACTATCAATCAGACATCGGACCTTAGAACTTAGTGCATCAAATATAATACATTAGGATTTATATGATTAATTTTAGGACAGACAGAGGTTAATAGACTGGAAGTTTCCAGACCTGTGAAACGCATGTAGTTTATCTACAGGTTCTGCTCCACACTTGACACCATCCTGAAAAACTCTGTCAGCCATCTTTAAATTCCCTCTCTTCTCGTGCTCCTCGGACCAGGCGATGTAAAGAGCGGCTTGCATGGTTCCGATTCCTTGAGCTTGCATGTAGCGGAAGACGTCCATCGGGTCAGAACAGCCCTCTGTCTGCAAGCAAATGGAAACAAACGAGTTAAAAACCACTATAATGATGCACTCTGAATGCTAAACGTGACGTCTGTCACTCACAAATTCGATCCAGAGTTCAACGTAGCGAACGTCATTGTGATATTTCTTGTCAGCTATAAAGAGCATGACCGCTCTTTCAAGAAGCACTGATAAATTACTCTCCTTTCCACCCTGTGGGAACGTCTGCTTTGTCCATTTAATGTACCTGCAGAAAAAAATAAGATGCAGGGTTCGTACAAAAACTGTAAAATGAAATTCAAGGACTTTTTAAGCACTGCTTTTTTAGTTTCAAAGACTACAATCTGAGATCTCACTTATCAAACAATATCTTTATTATCTTTCAAATTCTAAAAGAAGGTTAATAGATGAATGTAAACTAATAAAACAAAATGGTACAAATAAAGTGGAGCACATGCAATGACTGTGGTAACCATTGATACTATGACAATGATTTCCTTATTCAAACTGACTCCCCCCCATGAATATACGACTGAACTGAAGAATGAAAGCTACATATACTTGGAGATTTATATGAGCAATATTACGCTCATAGCCATGCAAAATGGCTCTATATCAGACGAGCCGCAGCGTTAATGAAGCGTGAAAAGCCTTTAACTAATTCAAGCACTTTTCAAGTATCTTTTCCTAAATATGGCTGTTTTCATGGGTTTTCCAGGACTTACATTTTTAAAAAGTCAAATTCAAGCACTTCCAAGCACCTTGAACTTGAAAAAAACATGATTAACTGTGATTTGCATATCAAAAGTCACCATGCATCTGCTGTCATAATCCATACCTGACCCAAACATCGAGAGGGTCGTCTCCATCATACATCCGCAGCTCAGACTCAAACGCTCTAGAAAAAGAAAGGTAACATTACTGATTTGTTCTGGAACATGCTTTTAGTTTGATTAAAAACCCCACTCACTGTTTCTTCTGGTTGAGGGCCGTGTGGTTCCCCTCCTGCTGCTGACACAGGGCCTGGTGTAGGGCCGAGATGGTACGGCCTTGTCTCAAAGGCTGGATATTTTCTTTACACAATTCCCATTCCGCATCACACTCTGCCATGGCTGGGGATCTGATCTGGAAGTGGAAAAACAGATGGCACTTATGATACTGAGTGGTTACCATATTCATATACGATGGCATTTAAACGGTCAGTTCACCCAAAAATAAAAATTCTGTCATTATTTACTCACCCTCATATGTGGGGCACACATTGGTGTGGTATTTACCTTTAGAGTACCTTTTAAAGGGATAGTTCACCATCATTTACTCACCCTAATGTTGTCCCAAACCTGTATGAGTTTCTTTCTTCTGTTGAACACTAAAGAAAATATTGTAAAGAATATGTGGGTAACCAGGCAGTTGATGGACCCCACTGACTTCCATAGTAGGGGAAAAAATACTATGGAAGTCAATGGGGTCCGTCAACAGATTGATTACAAACATTCTTTCAAATATCTTCTTTTGTGTTCAACAGAAGAAAGAAACTCGCACAGGTTTGGAACAACATGAGGGCGAGTTAATGATGGTGAACTATCCCTTTAAAAGGTACTCTAAAGTTAAACACCATGTTCTAAAAAAACAATGTATGCCCCACATATTAAACCTCTTAAAGAAATAAAGCAGTAAATGATATTAAAAATTTTTAAAATTAACGTAAACAGCAGGGTAAAAAACACATTTCTGTGTTTCTCTGCCGTTTCTACTGTTCTCTGTGTTTCTGTCTGCAAAGTTAAGTAACGTTAAAGAAAACATATATAACTTACATTTACCCAGCAGAAATCTCCTTAATATTCTTTTCTTCGTCAAAACGACCTTCGCTGTACAGTAGAAATATACAAATATGATCTTAATTTCATAAATCGCTCGTTATTGTGTCGTCTGCTCGAGTTGAAGGAGCAAAACACATTTGAACAAAAACCGGAAGCGCGCCAAATAGATCCTGATTGGACGAACCGGTCACGTGACCACGCGAGGTTCATCGACATAATAACCGACTGTTTTTATTTTTAAAATAAATATATGTATTTGTGTTTTCTTAATGCGTCTATCTTAATAGTGATTTTATTTTTTTCACCCACATTTTTGTGCAGGATAAATCTTGTAACAGAATGAGAGCAAGCTACAGCATGGCTATCATGTTGCATGCCGGGAAATGAGTACATTTCAAATTTAGAGTTTTGATTGTTTTAATTTTAATTATTTTTTAGGAAATTTTAGTTAAAATAAACAAGCCTCGGAATTCTTCTGCATGTATTTTTTCTCCCAAACCACTACAAGTCTCATCGCTGCAAGCAATAAAAACTACATTTCCCAACACTTCCCAGTTCTCGCAGCGCTTCCTGTATTTACGTTCTCTGTCTGATTCAAGAGCAACACAATGGAGAGAAAGCAGCTGAAATCACGTTATACAATACAATGCATTTAATTATTATAATCTTGAGCATTTAAAGTGTCACTACAGCATGTTTAAGCGGTTCCCCGAAGAATATCACTATGGATAATCGTTGTTACTGCTGTGCATCAAAGTTCACTCTCTTCAGAAAAGAGGTTAGCGCCTATAAATACCGATCATTTCATTTAAATACCTTAATTCAAAAAGTGTTTGACTTGGTTATGTGTTTTTGCAGTTGGGTTGTAAAAACTGTGGCCATTCTTTCTGCTCTGGGTGTCTGACATTCAATGCTGTTGTGCCAAAATATGGAAACAGCCAGCAGAAAGTCTGCAAACAGTGTTATGGAAACTTAACAAGGTCTGGAAGCCAAACACAGTTTACACTGTTATAGTATATTCACTAACACACAACTGACAGGTCTTTTTTGTACAGTCCAGGCAACCAGAATGATGCTGGCAAATGGTCCCCACCTGAAAACTACAAAAAGTATGAATCTGTAACTAAGTATTAGATGTGAAATGCCCCTGTATGCCACAGGAATAACACAAATCTGTGGCGTCTTACAGGCGAGTTGCTGCTCTCGAAGCCAAACAAGCTCAGCAGAATCAGCCGTCCAGACCCGGAGGTGGAAAGAACAACACTGTGAGTCGGGTTTCAACCCGAGGACTCAGTAAAGAGGACCAGGTCATCGCAGAACGACTGAACAAGCTGAAAGAGGAAACCAAGCCCAGTAAGATCTGTCAAAATCTGCTTGATTGTTTTGTCACAAAATGTAATCAACATTTTTTATCGCCCAGTTCTAATCTGCTAATTGCACTAGAAGGCATAAACACACAACAAACATTAACATTATGAATGCGCCGATACGATAACCGATAATCCTTTATATTTGAAAGCCGATAATATATATATATATATACACACACACTGATATGAAAATTTTGGCTGATAGTGATAACCGATAATTCTTTATATTTGAAAGCCGATAACAGATACATGTATGATATAAACGATACACACGATGGCATGCAAATTTTGGAAAAATAATAATTATGGCACTCAGACAGGTTTATTCTATGCAATTGTGTTGATTTCTAGGTTTAGCGTTATTTGCTGTTCAGATATTCCTCTTTAAAAGAAAAAAGCATCATCTGTATGTAAAGTGTCCCACATTTGGTTTTCGACCTCTGAAATTGAGCACAATTGACCAATTTACTCATGAAGCCGCATTGAGATCTCCATATCTCTGTGAATGAACCATCGAGGGCCTTTAAAATGAAGATACCAAAATAAATGTTTGTTAAGAACCAGAATCTAAAAGGATATTAAGATATATTTAATACTTCTGGAGTTACAGGAATGCAAACTTGGGTAAAAAAAACACAAGAAGTGCTTTTCCCCCATTTTTGAACAGTCACCGTTGGCATATAATGAAACAAAGATTGATAAAGTCAACAGATTTCACTAATAGTCCAACCAATCTCTGTGTAGAAATAAAATAATGATGCTGCCATCTTTCTAAAGTCATTTTTACCCCCCTGTAATTTGGCTCCAAATCTCAGGTGAAAATTGTCATTTTAACAGTGAATTACTCATGTTTCACGACATTTAATATTTTGGTTTTGTCCTTCATTTATGCATTTCTTTCACCAGAAAAAAATGATCAAAATCAAACAGTTTAGCCGGAGTTGACATGGAATGACCCTAATCTAAAATTTGATTCTGTGTCTGACCTGATATTTCTCTCTGTTCTCACACAGAGTCCATCCCATCAGAGCAGGAGCTGGAGTCTCGTCTCGCTGCCCTAAAAGCACCGGTTCAGCCCGTGCCTTCGGATAAAGACATGGAGGAGCGTCTGGCTGCTTTACAAGGAAGGCCTGCGCCCTCACAAGCCCCACAGCCTGTAACTACAATATCTGCTTTCACTTCAAGTGCCCCTATTATGCCTTTTCCAATATATCTTTATCTGAATATAAAAGGTCAAAGATCAAAGATAAATGGAGTTTTTGTCTCCTAAAAGAAAGAAACGATTCTGAACTGAAACGAGTCGTCACTTCCTGCTGAACCCGCGTAGGTTTGAAGCTAATTTGCATAATGTCACCCGATTGGCTGAACAGCGTCTCTTGGCCCCGCCCTCAAACACTAGTGTATCTGAGACTGGGAGAGTTTGGTTCGTGTTGTTCGTGTCGAGAAAACGCTGTTTTCTGCAAATCCACTGATGAGATTGATACGGTAAAACACACGCCATCGTTACTGTCCGTATCACTGTGTGTCAAGAGCTGAGATTCAGATATGATAATGAGCGTTCTGACCAATCAGAGCAGAGCAGCTCTCAGAGAGGCGGAGCTTAGAGAGACTGAGTCCTTGATCGAAGCGTTTCAGACACTGAGAGAAAAGAGATGATGCTGCAGGGGATATTATGACAAAATTAAAGTGTTTTTGACCTTGGATGCATGTGAACCTGTTGTAGGAGACTTTAAAATAGCAGAACGTGCGTTTATATGGATGTTTAATGTGTGCAGGTTCATCAGCCGCCCGACAGCAGGACTCAAACAGAACAGACCAATGAATTGATCACCCAAATGACGGAGGAAGTTGCTATTGATGACCAGTATCCATCGTCAGAGGGTAGTTTTACGATAATCATTTATTCTCAGTTATAAAGTTTAATCAATAATTTGGTTTTATGGAAAATAATGCATGTTGCTTTAATAGTGCATGTTGCTTTAATAGTGCACATTGAAATTGGTTTTACGGCACTAAATAAAAGATTAAGCCCTCATTTTGATTAAACATTAAAGAGTTTATAAAGCAATAGGCATCTCAAAGCCATGTTACAGTGATTTTACCATGCTTAAGGTAATCTTATTTTTCTCACTTGTGTAAACACAGACGAACCATTAAACGATCTTAATAAACAAGAGGGAGGGGGGGTGAATGAGAACGTGGATGACGGCGAGCTGTCAGTCAATCAGATGGAGGCGGAGCAAAGCCGCGTGATGGAGGAGGCCATGCAGGAGCTGAAGAAAGACAAGCACAACGAGGAGCAGATGCGAGAGACGGCCATGAGACTCGCTGTTCTGCAGGGACACGATCCAGAACAAGGTGCTTCACGCCTGAACATGCTCTTAAAGGGACAGTTCACACAGAAATGAAAATGATCCCATGCTTTACTCACCCTCAAGCCATCCTAGGTGTACATGACTTTTTTCTTTCCGCCGAACATTAATAAATGTTATGTTAAAAAATATCCTGTCTCTTCCTAGCTTTATAATGGGAGTGAATGGGGGGTGAGATTTTTAATAGCCCAAAAAAGTGCATCCATCATCATAAAAGTAATTCATACGACTCCAGTGGGTTAATAAAGGCCTTCTAAAGCGAAGCCATGAATTGTTATTATCCATAACTATAATAACTGGCTTCCGGTAACGGCCATACGCGAGTGTAGTACCGGGCGGAAGAGTGACCTCTGACCCAACGCATGACGAGTGACCTCTACCCTGACGCATGACGAGTGACCTCTGACCCGACGCATGACGAGTGACCTCTGACCTGACGCATGACCTCTGACCCGACACATGACGAGTGACCTCTACCCTGACGTATGACGAGTGACCTCTGACCCGACGCATGACGAGTGACCTCTGACCTGACGCATGACCTCTGACCCGACGCATGACGAGTGACCTCTACCCTGACGCATGACGAGTGACCTCTGACCTGACGCATGACCTCTGACCCGACGCATGACGAGTGACCTCTACCCTGACACATGACCTCTGACCCGATGCATGACGAGTGACCTCTACCCTGACGCATGACGAGTGACCTCTGACCTGACGCATGACCTCTGACCCGACGCATGACGAGTGACCTCTACCCTGACGCATGACCTCTGACCCGATGCATGACGAGTGACCTCTACCCTGACGCATGACGAGTGACCTCTGACCTGACACATGACCTCTGACCCGACGCATGACGAGTGACCTTTGACCTGACGCATGACCTCTGACCCGACGCATGACGAGTGACCTCTGACCTGACGCATGACCTCTGACCCGACGCATGACGAGTGACCTCTGACCCGACGCATGACCTCTGACCCGACGCATGACGAGTGACCTCTACCCTGACGCATGACGAGTGACCTCTGACCTGACGCATGACCTCTGACCTGACGCATGACGAGTGACCTCTACCCTGACGCATGACGAGTGACCTCTGACCTGACGCATGACCTCTGACCCGACGCATGACGAGTGACCGACGCATGACGAGTGACCTCTGACCTGACGCATGACCTCTGACCTGACGCATGACGAGTGACCTCCACCCTGACGCATGACGAGTGACCTCTACCCTGACGCATGACGAGTGACCTCTGACCTGACGCATGACCTCTGACCCGACGCATGACGAGTGACCTCTGATCCGACACATGACCTCTGACCTGACGCATGACGAGTGACCTCGGACCTGACGCATGGCGAGTGACCTGATCCGACGCATGACGAGTGACCTCTGACCCGACGCATGACGAGCGACCTCTGACCTGACGCATGACGAGTGACCTCTGCTCTGACCTGACGCATGACGAGTGACCTCTGACCCGACACATGACCTCTGACCTGACGCATGACGAGTGACCTCTGATCCGACACATGACCTCTGACCTGACGCATGACGAGTGACCTCTGACCTGACGCATGACGAGTGACCTCTGACCCGACGCATGACGAGTGACCTCTGACCCGACGCATGACGAGTGACCTCTGACCCGACGCATGACGAGTGACCTCTGACCCGACGCATGACGAGTGACCTCTGCTCTGATCCGACGCATGAGGAGTGACCTCTGACCCGACGCATGACGAGTGACCTCTGCTCTGACCTGACGCATGACCTCTGACCCTCACATGACGTATGATGTAGGAGTAGCGTAAGCTTAGGTGAGACCAGACGCCTCTTGCGGTTCAAACAAACTCGAGCTCCTCCACATTTCTCTTTAAAATTCTCATTTTGATTTCATGCCAATTGAAATCAATGCTTTGGTGCATTAATTAGTGTTAATTTCATATTCTCATCACAACGTTCTCCGCCTTTGACTTTCCTTTTCTGGTGAACGCTGCATTGCAGGGAAAAAACACTTTTTACAACCTTTTGTTCCACTGAATATTCTCTTGGTTGAATGCATTGCGAATTATGCTTTGAATAGATGCATAATACAACAATGTGTGTGTGTGTGTGTGTGTGTGTGTGTGTGTTCAGTCAGACTGTCAGATTTCCAGCAGCCTGACAGTGATGAAGAGACCGAAGAAGAGGCCATCACCAGAGTGATGAAGAAGGTCTGTCGTCTTTATTAAAGTCATGCAAACCTTCGTCTGTGGATCCCACTAAAGTTGACAAATATATATGAATTGCTACAAACTATTTTAGAGTGAGAAGAGCTGGAATATAGACAGAGAAGAAGCTTAAATATAAGAGTTTTATGAGTTTTCATTTGTTTACATCTTAATAAAAGGGTAGTTTTTGTATGTCCATGTTGGAAAATTAGTATTTTTATGATCCTAGTTGGTTTAAAAAAAAATTTTAAAAAAAAGAATACTTTTTTTTTCTCTTTAATTATAATATTTAGAATTTTAAAATTCTGTGTAAAATGATACAGAATAATTTGATGTGTCTAAATTTTGACTTGTAGTACAACTAAAGTGTAGCATAAACTAAAACTATTAAAAGCATTTCTGTTAATTAAAATAAAGCTGAAATAAAATGAAACGCATATTAGTTGAAAAACAAAAATTAGACCTGTTGCCTTGGCAATAAATAATAACTAAAACTGAAATAAAAATTAATTTAACCTAAATATCAATATTTAAATAATAATAATAAACTTATAAAACCACTTAACGGAATGATTAAAAATTAAACTAAATTTAACATGAAACTAAAACTGAAATAAAAATAATTAAACCTAAATAGCAATATTTAAATAATAATAATCATAAAATGTCAAAAGCACATAACAAAATATCTAAAGATTAAAATGAAAATGAAAAATATCAAATTAAACGGCAAGTCAAATAATTAATAAAACTAAAATAACACTGTAGATCAGCCGAGTGGCACGTCCCATAATAACCAGCAGAGGCCGCTCAACCCTCGAGCTCGATCTGAAGAGTGTGTGTGTGTGTGTGTGTGTGTCACATGTTCAGCTATCAGAGGAGGCGACTCTAGACGAGGCCAGCGGATTCAACATCCCACCAGAGCTCAGCGGCCCAATGAACCGAGAGAAGGACCCGTCCAGCAGGAGACCGGTACAACACACACACACACACACACACAAGTCACACACACACACACACACACACACACACACACACACACACACACACACGTCACCCACACAACACATACGTCACACACACAACATCCTACCAGAGCTCAGCGGCCCAATGAACCGAGAGAAGGACCCGTCCAGCAGGAGATCGGTACAACACACGTCACACACAACACACACGTCACACACACAACACACACGCCGAAATGCTGTTCGCTGTTCAGCCAATCGGGTGGCATTATGCAAATTAGCTTCAAACCTACGCAGGTTCAGCAGGAAGTGACGACTCGTTTCAGTTCAGAATCGCTTCTTTCTTTTAGGAGACAATAACTCCATTTATCTTTGACCTTTGACCTTTACATTCACTAACAGCCCTATTACACACTACATGAAAGGTCATATCCGAAAAGCATAATAGAGGCACTGTGTTTTGAGGGATTTCATCTATACAAAAGGTCAATTATTTTTGACATAATTATGATTTACCAAAGCATGAACTTTTATGAATTATGACATACTAGTCATAATTATTGGATAGAAAGTCAAAATTCTGAATCGAAATGATGACCTAGAAATTCATAATTACTATTAAAGTCATAATTATGACTTAGAATCTTATCATTTTGACTTTTTATTAATTTTACCATTTAGTTTTATTTGCTCACATAGCAAGTGCCACTAAAAGTCACCAAGTTTTGTATAGTTCTGATGTGTGTGTGTGTGTGTGTGTTGCAGGTCTCAGGCCAGCGTCTGCCAGCGTCTGCGTCTCAGATCCAGCGCTGTAATGATGAAGACAGTGATGAAGATGATGAGGAAGAGCTGCCGTGGTGCTGCATCTGTAACCGGGACGCCAGTATCCGCTGCCACACGTGTGATAGAGATCTGTTCTGCGCTCGCTGCTTCAGGCACGCTCACCTTTACTGCACACACAGCTTATGTTTAATACAGTGCTCCTCCTGCTTTACTCATTACTTCACATTTCTGCCACATAAGAAAAAAGTGCATGCTGTGGTGAATTAGAATAATGATGTAAATCTAAATTATGAAATGCTCAGTCATAATTATCATTTAAACACACACACATCACACACACATCACACACACACATCACACACACATCACACACACACACACACACACACACACACACACATCACACACACACACACACACACACACACACACACACACACACACATACATCACATACACATACAACACACACACACACACACACATGCAATACACACACACGCATCACACACACACACACACATGCAATACACACACACGCATCACACACACACACACATGCAATACACACACACGCATCACACACACACACACACATACATCACACACACACACACGCATCACACACACACACATACACCACACACACATGCAATACACACACACGCATCACACACACACACACATCACACACACACACATCACACACACACACACATGCAATACACACACACACATCACACACACACACACACACACACACACACATACATCACGCACACATGCAATACACACACCACACACTTCGAAATTGTGAGATAAAAGTCATACTTATGACAGAAAAAGTCGAAATGATGGAATACTAAGTCATAAAACAAGATATATTGACCTAATTATGGGATAAAAAGTCAACATTATGACCTGAAAAAAGTTTAAGTTGACATACTAAGTCATAATTATGAGATAAAAAAAACATAATTATGAAATCAAGTCAAAAGTCGAAAAGGCGTAATTATGAGATACAAAGAAATCATGGCCTAAAAAGTCATAATTATAACTTACTGTAAGTCAAAAAGTCATAATTAATAAGTCATAAATATGACTGTCATAATTAGAATCTTATCATTTGGACTTTTTATGACAATTATTTTTGACATAATTATGATTTACCAAAGTTTTTTTTCTTTTATGAACTATGACATACAAGTCATGATTATTGAATAGAAAGTCAAAATTCTAACATACAAAGTCATAATTATGAGATTTAAAAAAAAGCATAATTATGAAATATATATTTTTTTAATTAATTGTAACATCGAATCAAAATCGTAAGTCAAAAAGTCTCATCTTACCATTTTGACTTTTTATTACATAATTATGATTTACCAAAGCATGATTTTTTTTCCTTCATAATTATTGGGATAATAAAAAGTCAAAATTCTGACATCCAAAGGCATAATTATGATGTAAAAACAACTCATAAGTCATAAATATGATCTAACAAGTCATAAATATGAAATAAAGTCAAAATGATGACCTAAAAAGGCATAATTATGACTTGTGTCATAACTATGACTTTGAATCTTACCTAATTATGACGTACCAGTCATAATTATTGTTCAGATTTAATATTTTGAGTTGCGCTCTGAGTCTCGGCACATTGAACATGTAGACGTTCAGGAATCACTGCCTGGCTTTTGTCCACGATATCTTGCTGCATATTGAACATACTGATCTTGCAATATTAATCTGTGTCATATTTTTCTTTCTTTCTGCCACAGGGAAGGTCACGACAAATATGACAGGAAACAGCATCGCACCGCTACATATACGGCCCCTAAGAAAGCCAAGAAGAAAACATGAACCTCCATGCGCAGAAATGTGAATATAGATATATATATACACACATAACTCTACATGCTTCTGAACTAGACCTCTCCGATAGCCAGCAGAAATATTAATGTTGCTTATATATGTTTTGCAAACACAAAGCAGCCTTAGACTCAAGATTGTTCAA